ATGTACCTTCACATAAAAATAACCTAAAATTAAAATGTATATATTTGTATAATGATTCTATAACATTGCAGATTTTTTTACAACAGCTATATTCCCCACTTGTTGTTAATTATGCAATGGCATCCAATTAATGTTAGTGTGATATTATGAAATGTTTCTGAGTTGTAGATTATTTAATAGTTTACTTCCTCATTTTCGCTTCCCATTACCTCCTGAGTGTGAAATGACAAAAAAGGTGTGATAGCATGTGTGGTAAGAAATGTGTGCTTGCGAATTGTAATGCAAAACCAGTGTGTGCATGCATAAAAGACACATAAGACTCCAACATTTCTATTACACTGCAATGACTGTGTTTCAGTGAAAGAAACAGAGAACATGCTCTCGGAGCATTGCTGGGAGGAACACTGGAGCATGAAGCTACTAGGAGCTTCAGGGACCATCTGTCAACCATCACTAGCCTTCTGTTCAGGCAGCATGTAAGGGTCATGCACAACGTTTTCCATCAGTCTGGGATCATCGCTATGTATTTAACTGCTGTATCATTAGACCTCAATTCAACTGAACACCAGTGTGAGCATTTTGATTAGACATGCATGTTGATGTCACCCGCACTGTTTGTCTGTTGTTTTAAATTGAACGGTGGAATATGCCCATCTGCAGCATCAATACCACTCTTTCCACACTCTTGGACACACCAATATTAGTAACCTATTGTTACAATAGGAGGTTATGAAAATAGAGAATATCAGAAATGAACGAGCGGAAATCAATCTCAATTAAATCATGAAATGTGAATGAATGTGCCAAGAATATACCCAAATGGTTGGTATAGTTAAAGGCACACAAGCTCTTTTTTTCAGTAGCACAGCTTTGATGAAAAAATAATTATTCAGGAAAACTTGGTTTAAACAAATGATTATTGATAATAAGAATACACACACCAAACAACACACAACACACAAGCTACGCTATTTACAAATTTAAACACAAGGCATTCCAGAAAGCATCCTAACCACCCAGAAAAAAAAGATCTCTACCGCATATTGGACTTGTACATACAGTAACACCTACATAGGCAAAAAGACAAGATAAGCTGCCTTCTAAATCAAACAGAACACGACCTGCAGTTTAATTTCTCTCTCTGTAAACCTGGATGCCACAAAGGTAATGGGAACCCATCTCCCTGTTCTAAAAATGCACCCTCTTCCTAGGAAAGGTAATTTTAAACTGAGAGATTTTTCAGGATTCAGGAAATCAACATTCCTTAAAAATCACAGAATTATAAGCAATCTTGACAAGGTTCAAATATTTAGTTCCAATCTGGCCTTACCCTTTTATTTCCTCTTGATTTGTTTTTCTTTCTTTACTCTCCTTCACTCTGACCTCATCTTCTTCTATCCCTGACTTTGTTAAGCTGTCTTCCAGGACTATTGATTGACGCTTCATCATTTACCCAGAACTTAATTAACTAAGGTAAACCAAGGTAAACTTTACAATTGCTTTGATCACTGAATGTGAGACAATTTCATCTCAGCAAAAACATCCCCTTGCTTTGAAGCTGGAAATTTTTGACACAAGCCAGGTGTTACCCATTGTATTTAGATTCTTAAAGACACTTCAAAACAATATGTACAGTACCTACAGTAAAATAATGCACTATGTGATCCATAGTACAGTACTGTATATACAGAATGCACTTAAATATATTTGATAGAAACTTGAGTACAAATAAGGAAACAATGCTACAGTTTATAGAATAAACCTGACTTTATAGTGCCTAATGTTAATCTTGAATCTATCATATACAGTACAAAAGTCTTGTTTTGTATGTACAGTATGAATCACATAACTGAAATGCAAAGAAGAAAAAGAGCCATGTAACACTATCTACATTTCCTAGTTTATTCAATTAACAGAGTAATTTCTCTCTAATCAACCTGACCCTTATCTGCTGTGCAGAGCACAGAATCTGCTGGCACAGAATGCATTGTCCAGTTTGGCGCTGCACTTCAGGTGGTTGAAGTGGGTCCCACCTACTGTATATGTAAAGTACTTTTGGACAATCGTTATACAAAGGAAAGTATTTTTAATCAAAATTAATAAGTAGACCATTCCATTAGGCCAGATCAACATCACTTAGTTATTGTAGAGTAGAATTTGAAAAAGAATGAATGAATGAATAAATTTAAAGAAAGAGAGTGTATTACAAAAGGACTAAAATGTTCAAAAAGATTCTGCTGTTCCCAGTTTACTTCACACCAGCTGAACATCAGTACAATTTGCACTCAGACAGTAATCTTAATATTTGTGCTTTGAAGAAATTCCAACTTTTAATGTTGTAGTATTGTGTGGCTTTTATACACTTCCTCTGGTTTATAGATAAGCATTATTTCTTTGTGCTACAAAAAGGCAGATCAACAATCTTCTTGCAAAAACAACTTTCTGCCACAGAGCGACTTGAATTATAATGTTGTGCCTCAGACATTAGCAGACCATTGTGTGCTAATGACCATTATTAATGTGCATACTGTACATCCATTTTCTAAACACTTCATCCAATTCAGAGTTGCAGGGGAGCCAGAGCCTGTCTCAGCAAGCAACAAGCACAAGGCAGGATACACCCTGGACTGGACACCAATTCATCTTAGGACACAGACACAGACACATACACACTCCCACCAGGACCAATTTTCCCAGCAGCCAATTTATCTACTAGCATGCCTCTGCACTGTGGGAGAAAACCAAACCACCAGAGGGAAACCGACTTGAACACTGGAAGAACAGACAAGCTCCACACCGATAGCACTCCAGTTCTGGAATTGAACCCAGGGCCCCAGGACTGTAAGCCAGAAATACTAACCAATCGACCACCATAATATCTGTATGATGTGCATATGGACAACAGATACAAATCCAAAACAAAAGTGCATTGCTTTTTTGGATAAAGGTCCCAAAGATGACTGAGAATAAAGCATGTAAAATCATAAGCAAAATTTGATATATATATATATCAGTGATGACTGGGATTTTATAAATTAGAAGCAATTATTTACCTGCATAGTACAAATGCTCTTTTTGCATTACTGTCTCATAATTAATTTGAAAAATAAAATCTATTCTGATTGACGATAGTAATGCACATTAAAATCTAGTTCAGTAGTAGCTACAAATGCACCATCTGTGTACTTATATTTTACTTTTGTGTGCCTAACAAACTATTAACCGAGTGATATTTAGACATTGTTGATCATCCATTTCCCAACTCACAATGACAAGGGTGTTATTATAATCCAAGATCAATGCATGTTCTTAGAAAATCAATACAGTATAAAGTAAATAGTTTTTTTTGGGATGACTGCACAATTCATAAAACCTGAAACATTGTATGAACATCTAACTTTAAATTTGGAAAAACACTGTGTTTGTTGTGTCATCACAAGCATTTATGTGTAAAAATACTACTCTTTAAGGAGCAACTTCACTCCAGGCATTAATTGCTAAATGTTTGGAAATTGCTTTGTTCTGTGCGTTCACTCTGGATGCAAAACTGATTTCCTCTCACATTCTTTAGCTATAATTGTTTGGAAGAAAATGTCAAATATAAAACATATAAAACTATAAAAAATAAATGTGAATTTTTTTGTAATATTTTGTTTATTTTGCAAAATAAGAAAGTTTTTTAAATATATTTGGCTTAAATAGTAGGCTGTATTTAAAGGAGTATATGGTGTTTTCTAACTCATTAAATCAAGTTTCTTTATAACAATGTATATTTGTATGTCATAGACCATTTGTTTCTGTTGTCAAAAGGAAGATTAAAACTGTGTTATTTTAAAATGGCAAGTAAGCTGTAACATTGAGTACTCTTACAACATAGTCTATTTTATTATTTATAAAAACATCAAGGAAGAGAGAGTACAGTACATGTGTTTCACATTTAAAATGAAGTTGTAAGAATGTTCTAAATATCTTAATAGTCTGAAAAGGAAAACATTTAGATCTATTCTTACTCCATATAAAATTATTAACATTAATAATTGTAATAAAGTAATGGCCTACAATATTATTTCCATTATCATTTCTTGTAACTATCAATGCTGAACATAATCATTTCTATGTATCTAACACTGTGTTGACACCAAACAACATGTTACCTGGTAAGATAAAATAATATTTGACTTTTGAGAACTATCAAATAAGTCTTGGGGGTTGCAATAATGTTGGAACTTTAATTATGTACTTCTGAATCTATATTATCTTTTTCAATGATAATATTAATAAGTATTTGCTCCATCATCAAATTCCCTGATACCCCTATCTATCTGCTTTGCATAATGATCTTCTTGATTTTCTCAGCACAGACACCTCTTCCATTAATTATTTTTTAGCACGGGTATTTTGATAGATTTAATCTTGTATATTAGAAGCACATGACCTTAAAATGCAAATTTATATCAAGAGTTGTCAGGTTTCAATAACATAAGAGCTTTTTTGACTATTTGTAAATTAGGTTCTACATGGAAATCTGAATATCATCATGCTAAACGAGCCTTATGAGGTACAACAAACAATAAAGATAAACGATCTGCCAGTCCATAATGCAAATTACTTTATAAATAATCAGGCTCTTTTGTTTCTGGGTTCTCTGAATACTAACAAATATTCGGTAAATAGTGTGTTGTTTTTCTCAGAAATAGAGATAAAATATTCAGTTGCTTGTTAAAACAAGCAGATAAATAATGAGCTGCTGAAATCTTACAAAATGATCTAGTATTCACTAAATTTCCAATTAACCATTTGCATCTTGATGTTGAGAAATACAGAAGAACTTGATTTGGGGAATCTTTAACATACTGTAGCTACCCAATGAAGTATGTCTTTACAACAGAAGAATGGCTGTTCTTGTTCTTTGGGTGCTGGCATGTACAGTACAGTATGGGGTGGATAGATAATTCTGTATCTCACGCAATCATACTTTAAAGTGAGTTATTTTACTGTACCATTGCCGGGGTTGGAGTACTGGAGAATTTGAAGCCATTGGTTCACATCCCTGAAGAGTTGTTGAAATGTGGCCAAGTCGGTTGGGTCTGAAACAATGCTTTGCAGCTCAATCATGGCTCCAGCAAGCCTAGATGTAACATTTTATAAGTTAATGGATATATTTCTGGTTATATGAAACAGCAAGGAAAACATGTTTTTCTTTATTTTCTTACCTAATAACGTAAGAAACCTAATAATACCTAATAATAATTTAGTTAGGAAAATAAATCTTTTGTTATTCCATTGCTACACAGGTAAATATTTGTACCTTAAATCCAAAAACGTTTTAAACTGCCCTATTTTTATATATACTTTACAATCGAGCAGAGGATGCTATAATGTAAAAAAAGCAAAATGGTGCAATCCAAGAAAATACCTGAAACACATTAAGTGAAGTTCACATATTGTTCCACAAACTGGTCTTGTTAAAAAGGAAACAACGGTTTCTTAAAAATAAAATTGTTTCTATTGTAAAAGTCTTACAGTACCTTGGCTTTTACTCACATGTACAGTACTATACATTTTGCTCCATTCTACTTCAAATATAAATAATACATAAAACCATATGCTAACTGAGGTTGAAAATCAAAATTGAAAACATTGCTGGCTATTTCTCACAATTAGCCATTTTAAAAAATGCATATAAAATTGGTGTTCTGCCTTTAATACTATTAACACACTTACAATGATGAATTAAAGTTGTTGACTTGTCCTGGAGTTTCTCCTTCAGTTGGATGATTTTGACTCGGGTTGTTTAAATTGCATAACATACCCTGTAACCATGGCAGAATACCAGCAGAGGGCATGGCCTTATTAGGATAATGAGCTAAAATACAAAATATAACATAATTTCAACATGTTTAACAATATGAACTATGCATTTGCAATTCAAAGACTTTCTTTCTAAACCGTGGAACACTTTATCAAGAAAGTACATTTCCTTCTGGTTCAGAGGGTAACTTAAACTTTTTAAAATATTGTCACTTAGATATGTTTTGAACTGTCTGTTCATTCATAATAACACGAAATAAGTAATATTAATATAAATTAATATTTATAACATTATATTTATTTTATATGTATCCTAAGCTAGAAGAGAAATTGCCATGCTATTGGTTTAAGTGTTTTTATTTTATTTAGCTCAACTTTTGATTACAGTATGTAGCTGAATACACTGCTCACTCGCTCAGTGATTTTAAGGGTTAATATGGTAAGACAGTGGTAGTGGAAGAAAATACATTTAATTTATTTATGAAATATATTCAGGTAATTCAAAATATTAAAAAAAAAACTTCAGAAACTTCTTTAATTAGCTTTTTGCTGCATATACCAAATTTAATTAGAAAGGATCAAATGATGAGTCTATTTAGTGTTTCAGAAAACAAACATTTTATCTTTGGAATCCCTTTGAATTCTAAACAGATTTTTAAAGAGGGCAAATACAGTAAGCTTCATATTATATGTACATAAAACATCTAATCCACATCTGCAATGTTCTTTTAAAGTTTATTTAATCTTTACTAGAACTTCAGATATGCAAGGAACAAAAAATAAAACCTGCTTTTCAGCAAACACTACAGACCTCTACTGCATTTATCATATTCTCTTTTGAACAATGAATAATACTTTTGTGGGAAATGTATTTCTACAAATAAATAATTTGTCAAACCCCTATGTTTAAAATGCTAGTTTCAGAAATACATTTGTTTACAGTGTGCAGTTACTGTATGTCATGAGTGTTTTTACAGTACATCAGCAAGCTTTGGGAGGATTGCTTTTAAAGGTCTTAAATAAAATAAAACTTATTGTTAGTGTTACTGTAGCATGTTATTCCATGCTGCTTATGAAACCAAATTAATTCTTACACTTTGCTCACATGGAGTATCTTCACATCCTTTACATTCCTCGCACATGCAATTCAAAAGGTCATTTGCATTGCAAACACCTATGGGAGTTTTGTCTCAGGGAGAGAACACTGCATATGGTGAAAAACAATGACACAGCAGAAAAAGAGAAACCTCTCTTCTCTTTTGCATGTAAATAGTCATTGATACCTCCTAAGCAAGAAATGACAAATAATGGTACAACCCATGCATTGGTAAAAATATGTGCCAGTGAGTTGACAATGGCGAACAGGTTCACACCACAACACCACAGTGTCTAGTGAAAAACATGGGGGGGGGGGGTGATCCGTGGGGTTAAATATTGGTAGGATGATCCCAGTAAGAAAGTATTTCTGATGAATCTTAGTTCAGCTTCTCAACATGAATATACACAAGAAATAACATGTTTACATGAGACTTGTGTTAGAGAGCATCATTGTTTTAGTGGTTATTTAATTGTGTGAGAGGCCTATTTGTAATTGCACTCTACAGCATTATAACGACAACATTTTGATTTCAGTGTTTCTTAAGTTTCAAAGTTAACCATTACCATAACCATCCAGTTTGATAGTATACGTACTGTATACACAAACATTGCACTAATACATACCTTATGCAGTAGGCAAACATGCCCAGTTTCATTTAAATTAAATACAATAGTGTATGAGAACTACAGTATATTTTTCCATACACTCAAGCATATAACAGGAAATTTTCCTAAACACAATTTGATTTGCGCTGGTTCTCCCTCACTTATTTTTTTTCCTGGAAAAGTTTCCAGATGTCCCCATGATTTTAATGATCAGTTAATATATAATGATGCATCCCTTGGTTGTTTAAACTGTAAAGATGAATCCAGATTTCATGAAGTGTTATTCAAAATATGTGTGTATTTCTGCATATTTACAGTATATATATTATTTATATATATTTGGGTTCAAGTGTATGTGATTATTTTCTGCATGTTATCTTTAAAACATAAAACTTAGAAAACTTTAAAACTGTAAGACCCAGGGTAACAATGTGACATATCCAGCTATGCAAGAAATGTTCCATTACACATTCACACAATGAAAATCCAGTGATTGGCTTCATACTTACATTGCTCATGGTAGACAGGTGGATTTGTTGTTCGAACAGCAACCAGAATGAAAAATAAAAAGAGGGGCCATAATAACTCGACAAATAACCGGATCTGAAAGATTAAAAAGTACACATTTTTTATTCTTCTCCAGTGGAGATTCAAATGTCAATTCTATTCCAGAATCCATTTGTGCTGTGTTAAAACTCAAACTGTAATAAATGTACTTCATTTACAGATGCAGCCATCTATGCACAAGGTTCAGTAGGTACAGTATACTGCAGTGGAGACAGCAAGGTCAAGAAATGCTGTGTTTTGTCTCTTTTTTTCATATTCTGATGCAGGACAGTTCTACTCTGTAAAGCTGCTAGGTGGCACGGTGAATTCTTAATGTACCGCAGCTGCCTGTGGTTGTCTGGAAACTTGATGCAGTATTAAATGTTTAATAGCCCATTAGTGCTTTCCTGCATTTATCATATCGTATGCGTATTAGCAGCAAACAATTTCTTTAAATGCAATGATTACATTGTTGAGACAGGATGTTGTTACCACATTGTTACCACAACACCAAATGAGTTATACAATCACAATACTGTATAACACTGATACTGTATATTTATTATTTGAATTACTTACAGTACAGTACATAGAATTATTAGTAAAGGAACAAGTAAAGGTTGTCTACCAAAGAAGGCTCAACAGCAGAAATTTGTTTCTTCTGTTTTCAGCATGGAATAAACCTTTACTTGTTCCTTTGCGGCCTATGCATGCTGACACAGCTACAGGTACCTACTAGAATTATTAGTAGTTTTTAATAGAAATTAGAAAACAATTTTATCTAAGATTTTAATTATAAAAATATATTACAAATAGTGGTTTAAAAAATATTTAAAAGCAAGTAAGCCACTAAAAAATGAGACCGTATTAAAATAAAAGATTATTTAAGATTATATAAGGAGTGATTTTGAATGACTTTATTTCATACTGTAAGTTGCATTGTAATTGATACAAGTCTGCACTATATTGAGATCAGTTGATATTATTATTGTTGCAATTTACTGTAATATTGTTGATGTATTTAATGGATTATTTGGAACATTTGAATATCATTTTAGTGATCACGATGTGAATCGTTTTATCTAAATGAAGGCAATGTACCATGAATGACAGTAATACTTTAGCTGATTTACAGCATGAATATCTGTAGATATTCATGGAATTATTTAATGTGTATGGAATGTGAGGACATTTTTGTCCGTATATTTTGCTCATGTGACAAATTAAAAACTAGACTGCAATCATACGTATTTCTGGAATATTTACAGTTTTCTTTTGGTTAATTTCTCAGTATTTCAAATACTGATAAACTAGAAAAATACAATATTTTATAAGTCCTTCCAGACTTTCTGATCTTAACCCTTTTTGAAATTTCTCCTGGAAGTGGCAAAGTTAATTGTCTGTGAAGATCTCAACTTTATGTGTATCTTAGTATGTTGGGCTGGCTTAACTAAGAGCACACAAAGGGGAAATGATATTTTTGTTTTAAACTCTTTTTAACTTTCTGATGATATTCATTCATCAATGCATTTAGGCCAGCAGCCATATCACCCTGCAACTCACAACTAGCAACCCACTGAAGCTAAGCAGGTGTGAGCCTGGTCAGTACCTGGACGGGAAACCTCCTGGGAAAAACTAAGGTTGCAGCTGGAAGAGATGTTAGTGGGGCCAGCAGGGTGTGCTCACCCTGTGGTCTATGTGGGTCCTGATGCCGGTATGGTGATTGGGTTCTATACTAAGATGTAATGTACTGTAAAACTGAGGTCCTGACACTACCCATCCATGAATTGGCTACATCACTCTGTCCTCCTCCCCACTGAAAGCTGATGTGTGGTGATTGTACAGGCACACTTTGGATTCAGTCACATCCTTCATCCAGGAGGTTGTTACACATTGGTGGTGGTGAAGGGGAGACCCTATTACCTGATTACCTGTAAAGTACTCTGAGTGGAATGTCCAGATACGTGCTATAAGGAAGTGTTATTAAGTTATTATTAATATTATACAGATAAGTATTAGTATTATAAGCTGGATCGGTACTGAATCAATTGCTACTACTATAGGCACCTTCATTAAGGATGATTATTACAGTTGTCATATACTGTATTCATAGAAAGTCCGAATTATTAACTTATTAATATTATTATAACTTATAGTATTTCTGACATAATTGAGCAGTTTGGTTTAAAAAAGAAACATAGACATACAATATATAAGAGTTTGACATGTCTCCAGCAATACAGTACAGGAGAAACAACAGGGAGAACATAAAACCATAACAAACATTTTGAACTTGAGACTGTTGAAAGTAAGATAATAGAGCTATATAGGGCAGTGTATCTATATGCTGAATGTACAAAATCTACATATTAATGTAAGAACAGCATGCTAATGCCCTCAAATGAAAGGCACACAGAAAACTTAAACTTCCTTGAGCAATGAGTGGCAAAAGAAAAAAAAGTGCATAAACCGGAAAATATTTATTCAACAAGAACAAAATTTCAGCCAACCATGAACTACTGTATTTAAAACTGCTTGACAACCAGCTGTCTGGGTATAAGAAATATACTTTATTGTTCTAGAAAGGGAAATCAAGTGTGATTCCAGCGTATGTTCTTGGCTTGGGGCCACACTGAATAAGTTTGCTTTCTTTTTACCCAGAACATATATTTCAAGTTTGGTTTGGTCACTATTTCCTCTGTATTGTGTTTATTCTGCTAATTTTCATCCACCTTCAGACCAAGCCTTGTGTGTGTTTTTTATTTTTCATAATCCGGCTCTAGCATGGAATGAGATACTAAAGGCAGTTTAGTTTGAGATTGGTTGTTGTACCTACAGAAGAATATAACTCTCAAGTGGCTTAGACTTTATTGTTGATTAATGACTATGCACAAAAGTTATTTAGCTAGACTATATATAGCCTACTGTATATTAGTATAATTTTAATACATTTTATATACCTTTGACTGTGTCTACGTAAGTGACTTTGCAGGAGTTTATCTTAAAACCTGGATCTATCACTTGCACAAACATTTTCCATGGCTACTTTATTTTATCATTTGACAAAAAAGAAAAAAAAATAACTTGTAGCACAATTTTGGAATCCAGACTTAATATCATCATGCACAGTGTGGTTTGAAGTGATAAGTGCCATTGACATCTCTTATAGCATAGACTTCTGCAATGTATTTTGACATTGCAGAGAGTGTAATATATACAATACTTCAAGTACATACAGTAAGGTGTAACAATGAGGTCAAATGTTTTTGATTAAAAAAAACAACCTTATGTGACCTTTATATTACCCATAATAACTCCACCACATCTTCTTATCCTCTCTAATTGGTACAAAATTGGTACTGGAGTGCCTTTTACAGTAGTCCTATTAGAAAACAGTAAAATGTTTTATTCAAATCACTAATGATTTTTATAGAAAATATAAAACAGATGTCTCTCTCTGATCTTAAGTTTTAAGCAAAACACTATCCTGTTGCTCCTCTTATTGTAATGTCCTTGGGTCAGCATTTGCTAGAAAAAGTTAGAAAAATATTTCAAGCCCATACTGATATAACCTTCAGCAGGGTTATGAAACGTTTAATACAGCAGACAACATCCCTTGCTTTCTTTGTTTCATGCCCAGAACATTACCTTTCTGATACTTATTCCACTGAGTCAACTTCATCTGCACACGTATTCAGGGTCGATGCATTTTTCTAAACACTTGTCCCATTAAATATTCCCAGCATTCTGTCTGTCAATCTCAACTTTTTGTTCTCAAGTAAAATCACGGAATAAGAAAATTCATAATTCATAAACAAGTGGCTTACCTCACAGAAGTGCGTATACATTTTTAAAAAAAAAATTCCACTAGGTTTCAAACAGCTAAAAGGAACTGAGAAGGATCTGCTAAATAACTTGCATATTTGAACAAAATAAAACAAAATTTGTGTTATATTTTATTTGATTCTCTACATTTTTAGAAAATGGGGGTTATAACCTGACCAGACTATCTGTATCATAAGATTTAAACCTTGTTTATAAAAAAGCAGAATTAATTTCATTTTTTATTTTTAAATTAAAACTTTTTCTTTTAAACTGATGCTTTATTTGAAACTAACTGTATATGCTCTGGTTTTCTCCCACAGTCCTCCCACAGCATAATGGCATAATTAATAATTAATCATTAAAGACATAATGGCAGGTTAGTTAGCCATGCTGTGAGTATGTGCGTGTCTGTGTCTGTGTGCCCTGAGATGGACTGGTGTCCTGACCAGGGTCTACCCTGCCTTGTATTCACTACTTGTAGATATAGGTTGTGGGCCCTCTGCAACCCTGAACGGGATGAAGCATTTACAAAATTAATGGAATGATTCTACCTTATGACCTACACATTAAAATTCTATCTTATGGAAGTACATTAAAACCTCAATTTAATAGACCTGCATGGAAACAATGGACAACTTCCATGCATGCTGACTGTCTGGCAAGCTACTGGACTACAAGGTAATAGTGGACCATTGTTTTAAACAGGTGGGAGGGGAGTATATCCATCATAGCTTCTAAGGGTGGTCAAAAATTGTCAATTTGTATATACTGTACATCAGTGTCTAGAACTTACAAAGAAGCTTCAGTCTTATATGCCCATAGTGTGCATGTGTGAGGAGATCTGTATCTGATATAAAAAACAAATCTCTTGAAATTTTCATTAACCATCAGCATACAGTACATCTACAGCCTATTAAGATGTACCAGATTGTATTTAAATTATGTTCATTATTTTACGGTACATCATTTATTTTGTGAAATTATGAGTTATTAATACATTTGTTTTATTTTTACTGTTTTATTTCATGTACAGTACTGCCCTGTATGTTTTTTATTCATTCGTGACTGATTGATTTTTCTGCAGATACAGTACATTTTTCAAAGGTAATTTTTAATGCTTCTTGATAGATATGTACATATACAGTTCATTGGTATATACTGCATCTACACACTTTTGTGATTTTAAAGGCAAACCTGGTTTGAAAACAGCAAGTCCTAACTGCTTTCT